CCGCATTCACTTTATCCGCTCTCCCCGGACCCCGCATTCACTATTTTATTCCGCTTTTTAATTTTATTTTTACCCCGCATTCACTATATCCGCTTTTTTTTTTTTTATTTTTTATATATTTTCTTTTATTATTTTTTACCCCGCATTTTATTTTTATATCCGCTCTTTTTTTTTATTTCACTTATCCGCTCTTAAATTTATATTCACTATATCCGCTTCCCCCGAAATTAGCATTCACTATATTTTTCCCCGGACCCCGCATTCACTATAATGCTCTCCCCGGACCCCGCATTCACTATATCCGCTCTCCCCGGAATTTTTCACCATATCCGTTTTCCCCGGAACCCCGCATTCACCATATCCGCTCTCCCCGGAACCCCGCATTCACTAATATCCGCTAGTCTCCCGGATTTTATTCACTATATCCGCTTCCCCGGAACCCCGCATTCACTATATCCGCTCTTTACCGGAACCCCGCATTTTTTATATCCGCTTCCCCGGAACCCCGCATTCACTATATTTTTTTCTCCCGGACCCCGCATTTACTATATTTCTCCCCCGGAATTTTATCCGCATTCACTATATCCGCTTTCCCCCGGAACCCCGCATTCACTATATCCGCTCTCCCCGGAACCCCGCATTTATTTATTTTTCCGCTTCCCCGGAAACCCCGCATTTTTTTAATCCGCTCTCCCCGGAACCCCGCATTCACTATATCCGCTCTCCCCGGCATTTTTTTTTTTTTTAATTTTTTAATTATTTTTCACTATATCCGCTTTCCCCGGAACCCCGCATTCACTATTTTATTTTTCTCCCCGGAACCCCGCATTTTGTATTTATATCCGCTTCCCCGGAACCCCGCATTCACTATATCCGCTCTCCCCGCTTTTTTATATTCTTTTTTCTTTAACCGCATTCACTATATCCGCTCTCCCCGGAAAACCCCGCATTCAATATATCACATTTACCAGCTTTTTCCTTTCCTGAATGAACACAATGAGTTTTGGTACCAATCGCTCACTGTGTTTAATTTTTTTTTGAAGTATTATTTAAACTGTTATGTTTATTTAGGGGCCCCATCATGTTTTATGTACGGGGCTCCATGGCCTCTAATTTATTTGCCCACAGTTATATTAGAACATAGAAATGCAATTACTTTAGTGAATATTTTTTTTAAATACCTTTTTTTTTCAGCAGTATATAGCAGTCTTGTGACTTTTATCAGTTTTCCAGCTTGATTTTTTATAAATAATTATTTTTTTTTGTAGGAGGATCTTTTATTTTTTGCTTTTTAGGAGAATGCAGAACCCCTGATTCTGTCTGGACAGCGCTTGATTGGCCCTGTGCCGATTTTATATTTTTTTTCTCAGAAAGATTTTTTAAAAAACTTACTCTTAGCCATACACACCAAACTGAGCATGTGCAGATTTTTCTCCTAGGGCTCTGTCTGTTTTTTATATCAGCAGATGGATTGGGGACAGTTTAAGAAGGGGGACAGGATTATTTTTTTTTTTATTTTTAACAATTTTTTTTTACGTGGAGGATTAAATTCCCTTTTTACTTTTTCCACAGTTTATAACCAGCATTTTACTGCATTTTGACTGATTGTACTTTTTAATTAGATTTATTTTTTACTTTAATTTTTTGAGTTTTTTTTTTTTTTTTTTTTTTATTGACCGCCATTTTCTGCACATAGACGGGGCTCCTGATTTCTTTTTTTTTTTATTTTACATATGTATTTTTTTTTAATGCCGTGTTTGCTGAGGAGAACAGAAGGGAGCCCGCGCACGTCTCCGCGGTAGCAGTGGAAATAAATTTTTTTTTAATTGGGAACAGCTGTTAGAGCATCTGTTTCCTAGTAACTGAATTTATTGTTTTTTTTTTATAAATTTATTTTCTTTTTTCGGGTCCAAAGCTGCCTCACCCATCCAGCACCGAATGATTTTTATCCTAGATTGTTGTTTTTTTTAGATCAGGCCCCTCCTATCCTCTTGTATTGAACTGTATTGTTGCTGTATTGTCTCCCTTTATATTGTTAAAGTGCTGAGCAAACTTTGGCGCCATAAATCCTTATATAATATATAATCCTGTATAATAATAAAAATATATTAATTAATTTTTTTTTTATAATAAAATATATTAATATTTTATAATATAAATAAAAAAAAGCATTAAATAATTTAATAATATATAAAATCCTGTATAATAATAAAATATAAATCCCGTATAATAATAATATATAAATCCTGTATAATAATATATAATCCTGTATAATATAATAATATATAAATCCTGTTTAATTTATAATAATAATATATCCTGTATAATAATAATATATAAATCCTGTATAATAATAAAATAATATAATCCTGTATAATAAATAATATATAAATCCTGTATAATAATAATATATTAAATCCTGTATAATAATAATAATAAATCCTGTATAATAACTAATATATAAATCCTGTATAATTATAATAATAATATATAAATCCTGTATCCTGTAAAATAATAATATAAAATCCTGTAATAATAATAAAATATAATAATAATATAAATCCTGTATAATAATATATAAATCCTGTATATAATAATATAAATCCTGTATTATAAAAAAAATAATAATATATAAATCCTGTATAAAAATAATAATATAAATCCTGTATATAAATCCTGTATAATAATAATATATAAATCCTGTATAATAATAATATATAAATCCTGTATAATAATAATAATGACACAAAGCCGTATTGAGCCCAAAACTCAAATGTAATGTCATCTTGAGATGTGGTGGCTGCATTAGTTTTCCTTTTTTAGGCTTTTTTAAATTTTTTTTTTTTTTTTTTTTTTTTAAATTTTCACCTGGGCATCTGGCCAGTAACACGCTTCCTGTCTTTTGGGTGTCTCCACTCTGGATAAAGGAGCAGTGGAGGCACCCTTAGACAGCAGCATGATCAGACTGGGGGGAGGGGAGCGTTTAAACTAGCAGATTGAGGTGGGCTTGGCTTACAAATCAAAGCTGAACTCCAGCAATAAGCCTTGGTTCACACCACTGCCACGTCACATGCGTTTTACGCATCGCACCCATAGTCGTATCGAATGTATTTCTATGTCTTCATAGGTGTGATTTCAAGCAGCGCGATTTGAAAAATAGTTCCTGTGCTACAACTGGCACGATGTTACAATCTGGTTGTACAAACTACAACTGTATGATGTGTGAATCAGGTTTTACAATCTCTACAACTGTTCAATGTGTCAATCTGTTTGTACAATCTCTACAACTGTCCGATGCTACAATCTGGTTGTACAATCTCTACAACTGTCCGATGCTACAATCTGGTTGTACAATCTCTACAACTGTCCGATGCTACAATCTCTGGTTGTACAATCTCTACAACTGTCCGATGCTACAATCTGGTTGTACAATCTCTACAACTGTACGATGTTACAATCTGGTTGTACAATCGCTACAACTGTACGATGTTACAATCTGGTTGTACAATCTCTACAACTGTACGATGTTACAATCTGGTTGTACGATCTCTACAACTGTCCGATGCTACAATCTGGTTGTACGATCTCTACAACTGTCCGATGCTACAATCTGGTTGTACGATCTCTACAACTGTACGATGTTACAATCTGGTTGTACAATCGCTACAACTGTACGATGTTACAATCTGGTTGTACGATCTCTACAACTGTACGATGTTACAATCTGGTTGTACAATCGCTACAACTGTACGATGTTACAATCTGGTTGTACAATCGCTACAACTGTCCGATGCTACAATCTGGTTGTACGATCTCTACAACTGTACGATGTTACAATCTGGTTGTACGATCTCTACAACTGTATGATGCTACAATCTGGTTGTACAATCGCTACAACTGTCCGATGCTACAATCTGGTTGTACAATCTCTACAACTGTCCGATGCTACAATCTGGTTGTACAATCTCTACAACTGTCCGATGCTACAATCTGGTTGTACAATCTCTACAACTGTCCGATGCTACAATCTGGTTGTACGATCTCTACAACTGTACGATGCTACAATCTGGTTGTACAATCTCTACAACTGTCCGATGCTACAATCTGGTTGTACAATCTCTACAACTGTACGATGTTACAATCTGGTTGTACAATCACTACAACTGTACGATGTTACAATCTGGTTGTACGATCTCTACAACTGTACGATGTTACAATCTGGTTGTACAATCGCTACAACTGTACGATGTTACAATCTGGTTGTACAATCGCTACAACTGTCCGATGCTACAATCTGGTTGTACGATCTCTACAACTGTACGATGTTACAATCTGGTTGTACGATCTCTACAACTGTACGATGCTACAATCTGGTTGTACAATCGCTACAACTGTCCGATGCTACAATCTGGTTGTACAATCTCTACAACTGTCCGATGCTACAATCTGGTTGTACAATCTCTACAACTGTCCGATGCTACAATCTGGTTGTACGATCTCTACAACTGTCCGATGCTACAATCTGGTTGTACGATCTCTACAACTGTACGATGCTACAATCTGGTTGTACGATCTCTACAACTGTCCGATGCTACAATCTGGTTGTACGATCTCTACAACTGTACGATGCTACAATCTGGTTGTACGATCTCTACAACTGTCCGATGCTACAATCTGGTTGTACGATCTCTACAACTGTCCGATGCTACAATCTGGTTGTACAATCGCTACAACTGTACGATGCTACAATCTGGTTGTACGATCTCTACAACTGTACGATGCTACAATCTGGTTGTACGATCTCTACAACTTTGTAGCCAAGGGCCTGCCTGATTGGATACAAGCTGATTGGATGGATTAGGTGGGTTTTCCTGTTGCATAGTTTCGGTGAATCGAAAGATGAATGCATGGATTATAATGTGTATGGTGACCTTAAGAGTCGCTAAGCTGCAATCTGTTACATTTTTTGGGTGTATTCACGGTTTTTCCTATCATGACAGACGTGAAGCCTTCTAACATCCTGGTGAACTCCAGAGGTGAAATCAAACTCTGCGACTTCGGGGTCAGCGGTCAGCTCATCGACTCGATGGCCAATTCCTTCGTGGGGACGAGATCCTACATGTCTGTGAGTGTCCATGGGGGGGGGGGGGGATCCATCTGTATGGGGGGGGGGGGATCCATCTGTACATGTGTGTTCTTCCATTGCCTCCATGCTTTATGTAATGTGCCGCACGAGATGTATGATTCCAGCCCGCCTCGGATGGCACTCGCTCGCATTGTGTGTCACGCAGCAGATGGGGTGTCAGGACGTCCTCCCACACTGCTGGTTGTGTGTAATAACAGCTCTTCAGATGCTCTCGGATGGGGGGGGGGGGGGGGGGGGACGCCATTTGTGCCTCGTCTCCTGGAGGCACGCTGATTTATTGCAGATAACAGATTGGAGTGTTTGTATGGAGATCTTTATGTAATTCCATGGATGGCGGGTTGTGTGATCTGCGTTGTGCAGAGATCTCCTCTGTGCTGCTGATAAAAGCATCCCTTCCATTTTGGGATTACGGAAAAAAGAGGATCTGATTGGACAGAACGAAAGGAATAGATCTTTGGACCGCGTCACCAGTTAGATTTACAGGTGTTGCTTCCTCTTGAATGTACTGCAGCGCATCGTCACGCTATACTGGGTGGGGGGGTCAGCAACCCCTGGATTGTGATCTTCCGGGAGTAGGTGGCGATCTTCCGGGAGTAAGGGAGTAGTTTGAGATCTTCCGATAAATGACAATCTTCCAGTATAATGCAATCTTCCGCTAGATGGCAATCTTCTTCTGATCTTCCAGTAGATGGCGATCCTCTGATCTTCCAGTAGATGGCAATCTTCTTCTGATCTTCCAGTAGATGGCAATCTTCTTCTGATCTTCCAGTAGATGGCGATCTTCTTCTGATCTTCCAGTAGATGGCAATCTTCTTCTGATCTTCCAGTAGATGGCAATCTTCTTCTGATCTTCCAGTAGATGGCGATCCTTCTGATCTTCCAGTAGATGGCGATCTTCTTCTGATCTTCCAATAGATGGCGATCTTCTTCTGATCTTCCAGTAGATGGCAATCTTCTTCTGATCTTCCAGTAGATGGCAATTGTCTTCTGATCTTCCAGTAGATGGCAATCTGCTTCTGATCTTCCAGTAGATGGCGATCTTCTTCTGATCCTCCAATAGATGGCGATCTTCTTCTGATCTTCCAGTAGATGGCGATCTTCTTCTGATCTTCCAGTAGATGGCAATCTTCTTCTGATCTTCCAGTAGATGGCAATCTTCTTCTGATCTTCCAGTAGATGGCAATCTTCTTCTGATCTTCCAGTAGATGGCAATCGTCTTCTGATCTTCCAGTAGATGGCAATCTTCTTCTGATCTTCCAGTAGATGGCAATCTTCTTCTGATCTTCCAGTAGATGGCGATCTTCTTCTGATCTTCCAGTAGATGGCGATCTTCTTCTGATTCTCCAGTAGATGGTGATCTTCTGATCCTCCAGCTAGATGGCGATCTTCTTCTAATCCTCCAGTAGATGGCGATCTTCTTCTGATCCTCCGCTAGATGGCGATCTTCTTCTGATCCTCCGCTAGATGGCGATCTTCTTCTGATCCTCCGCTAGATGGCGATCTTCTTCTGATCCTCCGCTAGATGGCGATCTTCTTCTGATCCTCCGCTAGATGGCGATCTTCTTCTGATCCTCCGCTAGATGGCGATCTTCTTCTGATCTTCCAGTAGATGGCGATCTTCTTCTGATCTTCCAGTAGATGGCGATCTTCTTCTGATCTTCCAGTAGATGGCGATCTTCTGATCTTCCAGTAGATGGCGATCTTCTTCTGATCTTCCAGTAGATGGCGATCTTCTGATCTTCCAGTAGATGGCGATTTTCTTCTGATCTTCCAGTAGATGGCGATCTTCTTCTGATCCTCCGCTAGATAGCGATCTTCTGATCCTCCACTAGATGGCGATCTTCTTCTGATCCGCCACTAGATGGGGATCTTCTTCTGATCCGCCGCTAGATGGGGATCTTCTTCTGATCCGCCGCTAGATGGCGATCATCTCTTCTGATCCGCCGCTAGATGGCGATCATCTTCTGATCCGCCGCTAGATGGCGATCTTCTTCTGATCCGCCGCTAGATGGGGATCTTCTTCTGATCCGCCGCTAGATGGCGATCTTCTTCTGATCCGCCGCTAGATGGCGATCTTCTTCTGATCCGCCGCTAGATGGCGATCTTCTTCTGATCCTCCGCTAGATGGCGATCTTCTTCTGATCCTCCGCTAGATGGCGATCTTCTTCTGATCCGCCGCTAGATGGTGATCGATCTTTCCCGTAGATGGCGATCGATCTTTCCCGTAGATGGCGATCGATCTTTCCCGTAGATGGCGATCGATCTTTCCCGTAGATGGCGATCGATCTTTCCCGTAGATGGCGATCGATCTTTCCCGTAGATGGCGATCGATCTTTCCCGTAGATGGCGATCGATCTTTCCCGCAGATGGCGATCTTTCCCGCAGATGGCGATCTTCCCGTAGGTCACGCCCAGGTGACTGGCAGATCGTGGTCTGGGCTTGCTGACCCGCCATCCCAGACCATCAAACAGAGGGCAATGCAGAGGGACGACTTGTAAAGTTGGAGTTGTAGTTGGGAGCCGGAGCTGCATAAGTTGATGCCTCCTGTAGTGCCGGCTCCTGTCCCATGCGGAGTGATACCAACTGCACTCCACTTCTTATCCCGGCTAGCAGCCTCCGGAGTGGTGCCAGCAGCAGGAAAGAAGAGATCTTCAGGTCAGTGGGAAGCAATACAGAAGTCTGGGGCAAAGTGCAGCTAACCCAGGAAAGCCGCAGATGCACCGCGCTGCACCCAAGGTGCACATAAACTGTAGCACGGTGGGGTGAAAGCAGCCTTACAGGGAAGCTCAGAATGGTAAGGGTTCATTTACATTTGCACTTTGGGGGAGTGGTAAAACCCCATAGTTAAGTTGTGTTTTTACCACCCCCACCCCAACTGAACTCCCTTTAGCTGCAGTGGCCAGGGGTGTACACATGTTGCAGCTGCCGCAGGAGTTGTACGCCCCGTCATGGTTGGTGGGTGTAGCATTTGCCAAGCATAGCCCGTTCCAAGTGAATGAGGCCGCTCTGCAACCTTGTGCAGTACAGCAGGCAAGGGGTTAAAGCGGGCGGCGGCGGCGCTCTCCCACCTCCTGCTGTGACCCCTCTTGGACCCCGCAGAAGCATGCAGTTGTGGGAGCTTGCAGACTGGCCCCATTTACCTGAATGGGTCCTGATTGGCAGGCGGTAGTACCAACCAAAAGCAGCGGGGGGGGTTTCCTGCTGCGGCATGTGTACACCTTTGGCTGCTGCCTTAGCCTCTAAAGAAAGGGGGGTAGAGATTGGGGGAAGTAAAAATGCAGTACAACCACAGGGTTTTACCACCCCCTAACTTTACGTGTGAACGAACGAGCCCGAAGGGTGCCGCTGCCAAATGCAACTAAGGGCTCATTCACAAGTGCAGCAGACACCACTGCTCCTCTGAAAAGCGATCTGAATGTGTTTTGACAGGTGGTGAGGAGGGGATATGTTGCCTCCACAACACCTGATTTAATCCCATGATTGCCGTGCAATACACGTGATTGTGACACGGTAGTACAGCAATCCGAGGTTTACACCCCGGTGTGAGGAGGTCACACTGTGCCCGGGGATCTTTGACTTCCCCCATGTTGTTCAGGCAGATCTCCGCCTCTTCAAGGTTGCCTCCCCCTGCGCTCCACCATACACGAGTACCATTGAATGAAATGTACGACTCTTCGTGAAGAGAAGGGATGGATGGATGGATGGATGGATGGTACCAGCAGCCCTGTAGTAAAGACGAATTTAAAGCTGAATTCTGAGAATTGAAAAAAAAAAAAAAACAACCCACCCTCGCATTTGGACTAATTCCCTCCCTCTCTGTCTAGGGGTGCAGGGTAAGGTGTAGTGCTTACCCTATTCCTCGCCCCAGCTTGTTCCAGCGGTTTTCCGTTCTGTCTGAAACTGTGAACAGTCCCCTCTACGTCATCGCGTGCAGTGCAGGGCTATTAACCCTGCATTCTACACAAGGGGGGAGGGGAGCATGCAGCCGGGGAGAAGTGGGAGCGTTGGACTAGTTGCACAACTGAAAGACCCCCACTGGAGTCATTACCCCCAACCATTCCCCTGCACCGCAAGAATGTTGAGGGTGCAGGGGTAAAGCGTATTACTTATGGTACCCTGCTGGTGTTATTATAGAGCTGGAGCTATTCTTCTTGCATTAGTAGGCCATTTAGTCAAGGAGTGCAGGGGTAAGGTATATTACTTGTGGGACCCTGCTGGAGCTATTATAGAGCTGGAGCTATTCTTCTTGACTAAATACCCTACTAATGCAAGGAGTGCAGGGGTAAGGTGTGTTACTTATGATACCGTGCTGGAGCTATTAGAGAACTGGAGCTATCTTGCATTAGTAGGGTATTTTAGTCAAGAAGAATAGCTCCAGCTCTATAATAGCTCCAGCAGGGTCCCACAAGTAATATACCTTACCCCTGCACTCCTTGACTAAATGGCCTACTAATGCAAGATGAATGCTCCGTGCTGGAGCTCTTATAGAACTGGAGCTATTCTTCTTGCACTAGAAGGGCATTTAGTCAAGGAGTGCAGGGGTAAGGTGTATTACTTGTGGGACCCTGCTGGAGCTATTATAGAGCTGGAGCTATTCTTCTTGACTAAATATCCTACTAATGCAAGGAGTGCAGGGGTAAGGTGTGTTACTTATGATACCCTGCTGGAGCTATTCTTCTTGCACTAGTAGGGCATTTAGTCAAGGAGTGCAGGGGTAAGGTGTATTACTTATGATATCCTGCTGGAGCTATTCTATAGCTGGAGCTATTCGTCTTGCACTAGAAGGGCATTTAGTCAAGGAGTGCAGGGGTAAGGTGTATTACTTATGGTACCCTGCTGGAGCTATTATAGAGCTGGAGCTATTCTTCTTGCACTAGTACTGCATTTAGTCAAGGAGTGCAGGGGTAAGGTGTATTACTTATGGTATCCCTCGCTCCATCACCATTCTCTTCAATCCAAACCTCTAGGCTGTCGGCAGTCCCTCTGCATCGTCACAGCGCAGTTTGGGGCTATTAAGCCAGCATCGCACGTGAGGAGCATGCGACAGGGAATTCCTTAGAGTGGTGGCAGTGCTGCACTGGTTGAAAGTGGGGTGAACCATGTGAAAGCCTCTGTCCTGGTGTGCAAGGGTGTTTAGTCTAGGGGGGCAGGGGTAAGGTGTACTGATTACCCCATCCTTCGCTCCAGCATTGTTCTGTTCTGTCCAAACCAGTGAGCTGCTGGCGGTCCCTCTACATCGTCATGTGCAGTGCTGGGCTTTTAACCGTGCATTGTACATGAGGAGGTGGGCATGCGATCAGAAACACCGTAGAGAGGAAGCAGCACCGAACCAGTTGCACAGCTGAAGGGATCCTACTTGAGCCATCACCCCCGGGCACTCCCCTGCACTGCATGGGTGTTTAGTCTAGGGGTGCAGGGGTAAGGAGTATTACTTACCCTATCCCTTGCTCTAGCGCTGTTCTCTTCTGCCTGAAGTTGCGGGTGGTCCCTCAGCGTCATCACATGCAGTGCAGGGCTATTAACTCTGCATTGTACATGAGGAGTGTGAGACTAGAAATCTGTTAGTGACAGTGCTGGAGGGGTCCTCCTGGAGCCACCCCCCCCCCCCCAAAAGCACTGCAAGGGCATTTAGTCTAGGGGTGCAGGGGTAAGATGTATTACTTCCCTTATCCCTTGCCCCAGCATTTTTCTCTTCTGTCTAAAACACAGGGCTGTAGGCAATCTCTCTGCACCATCACCCTGCATTGAGGTGCTTCCAGTAGTGTACAAGCTGAATGAAACTAAGGGGGTCTCTTTATAAAATAAAAAAATGCTGTGGGAACATGTCAATAATCAGCACAGCTGTTGCGCATTTTCACCATAATTTGCCAAATATGTTTATTTCTTATGACTGTCAGCGTTATCTAGTGGCCATAATGCGGTATTTTCTTGAAATACCTCAATCAGGAAAATCCTGCATTTTGACCACTAGATGGCACTAGCGATCCTAGGAAATGTATTATAGTGAAGATTCATGATGGCTGGGTGAAAGATTAACACAAATTTTTTTATAAATGGGTAAGATGCAGGAGCATCTATCCATGAGACACTTACAGTGAGGAACAGAAGTATTTGAACCCCCTGCGATTTTGCAAGTTCTCCCCCTTAGAAATCATGGAGGGGTCTGACATTCACATTGTAGGTGCATTCCCACTCTGAGAGACAGAATAAAAAAAAAATTTAGGAAATCCCATTGTATAATTTGTAAAGAATGTATTTGTCTCGCAGGGCTGAACAGAAGTATTTGAACCCCTGAGAAGATCCGTGTTAATATTTGGTACAGAAGCCTTTGTCTGCAATTACAGAGGTCAGACGTTTCCTGTAGTCCTTGGCCAGGTTTGCACTGCAACAGGGATTTTGGCCGACTCCTCCACACAGATCTCCTCTAGATCTGTCAGGTTTTGGGGCTGTCGCTGAGCAACACGGAGTTTCAGCTCCCTCCAAAGATATTCTATTGGATTTAGGTCTGGAGACTGGCTAGGCCACTCCAGAACCTTGATATGCTTCTTACGGAGCCACTCCTTGGTTCTCCTGGCTGTGTGCTTCGGGTCGTTGTCATGTTGGAAGACCCAGCCACGACCCATCTTCAATGCTCTGACTGAGGGAAGGAGGTTGTTGCTGAAAATCTCACAATAAATGGCCCCATTCATCCTCTCCTTAATACAGTGCAGTCGTCCTGTCCCCTTCGCAGAAAAGCACCCCCAAAGCATCATGTTACCACCCCCATGCTTCACAGTAGGGATGGTGTTCTTGGGATGCAACTCATCCTTTTTCCTCCAAACACGACAAGTGAAGTTTAGACCAAAAAGTTCTACTTTGGTCTCACCTGACCACATGACTTTCTCCCATGCCTCCTCTGGATCATCCAGATGGTCATTGGCAAACTTCAGACGGGCCTGGACATGTGATGACTTGAGCAGGGGAACCTTCCGTGCAATGCATGATTTGAAACCACGACGGCGTAGTGTTCTACCGACAGTGACCTTTGAAACTGTGGTCCCAGCTCTCTTCATGTCATTGACCAGCTCCTCCCTTGTAGTTCTGGGCTGATTCCTCACCTTTCTTACCATCAGTGATACCCCACGAGGTGAGATCTTGCATGGAGCCCCAGTCCGAGGGAGACTGACAGTCGTCTTTAGCCTCTTCCATTTTCTAACAATTGCTCCAACAGTTGATCTATTTTCACCAAGCTGCTTGGCAATTGCCCCGTAGCCCTTTCCAGCCTTGTGGAGGTCCACAATTTTGTCTCTGGTGTCTTTTGACAGCTCTTTGGTCTTGCCCATGGTAGTAGTTGGCGTCTGACTGACTGTGGAGTGGACAGGTGTCTTTAAAGAGCTCAGACAGATGCTACTAAGTTAGATTAATGAGTGGAGTAGAGGTGGACTTTTTAAAGGCGCAGTAACAGGTCTTCGAGAGCCAGAATTCTTGCTGTTTCTCAGGTGTTCAAATACTTCTGTTCAGCAGTACAAGACAAATACATTCTTTACAAATCATACAATGTGATTTCCTGAATTCTGTCCTCAGAGTGGGAATCCCCTGCAATGTGAATGTCAGACCCTCCATGATGGAGAAGTGGGAGAACTTGCAAAATCGCAGGGGGTTCAAATACTTCTGTTCCTCACTGTATCTTTAGTTTTTTGTTGTTTTTTTTTTTTTTTTTTTTTTTTTTTTTAACAAATATCCAAATGTTGTTTTTTTGCTTGTTTTTTGTTTTTATTAATTTTTTTTTTTACAAATATTATTATTATTGTTATTATTACAAATATCCTAAGATTGTGTTGTATTTTTTCCCCTGGAGTTCAGCTTTACCTGATTTTTATATAAATGGTCAAATTATCATCTTTTTTTCCAGTGGATATGACTCCGGGGCAAACACTAATATAGTTACTATAATGTGTCTCATGGATTGCCTGTGCTGGCAACCAATCAGATTGTATCTTCCATTCTGCTATGGCTGTTTTGGATGTTGGAAGTCTTGTTGGTAGCTGGAAGCAAAAGCTCTTGTCAGACCATATGGAATTCCAAATTTGAAGATCTGATCCTTTTTTTTTTTTTTGTGTTTTTAGCCGGAGCGGCTGCAGGGCACACACTACTCGGTGCAGTCTGATATCTGGAGTATGGGGCTCTCATTGGTGGAGATGGCCATCGGACGATATCCAATCCCTCCTCCTGATGCCAAGGAGCTAGAAATGATTTTCGGTTGTTCCGTAGAGGGAGATCTGGCATCCTCCGAGTTTTCCCCTCGCCCCAGGCCACCAGGACGTCCCATCAGCTGTAAGTGTTACCTAGGCAGGTCGACATCCTGCCTGCTCATTGTCTGATCGGCATGGTAGAACGTTTACAAACGAAAATGACTAAAAGCAAACAAATTAGGCCTATTCCATTGCAGTCTTGCTTTAAAACCGTGAGTCAACCGTAGGGATGGAGACCAGTCCTTCGGGTGTGGATCCTTGCGACATCAGTTTTCGAACGTGGCCCCGTTTGGAGAAGGCTGCGAACGTGGTGGCTTATTGGGGCGTACCGGAAATCCTAATTAGCCGGTCATTGCCAATGTTGCTGAAGGCACTGGAAGGATTGGACACCATCGAGAACAAGAAGATCGTAAATGTATCTAGTCCCCCTTCCATGCCTCCATCGGAAGACCCCAGGGTTACCATGGGCTGGGGGGGAAGTGAGGGGGTGCCAAAGATACCCAAAAGGGGTAGGTGGGGGGACAATAGATTGTTCCTACATTTGACGGAATCCCATTGACACACGGAGCACAGCAACGAGGGATCGGAGAATTTTTGGGTCTATGACAAGGATAGGGGGCAGTAAAGATTTTAGGCAGCTGATGAGCATTTGAAGGAGAATTCCACCTTTTGCAAAAAGAAGAAAAAAAGAACCCAAACAATGTGTGGGTTTTTTTTTTTTTTTTTTTTATTTTGCAATTGGGCCTAAAAACCATTGAAACCACGATCAGTGGATGGCTGATGGAATGCTCTGGCTCCTAACAACTATTTCTCCTGCACCCGGTTTGTACCAAGGTATGGACCTTCGGTGGCTGGGTTGGAGGAAGTCTGTGGACTACAACTGAGGTGACGTGCTTTATTGAGAACTACAGTCCTTCAGCCGTTGTGGAAGACAGGACTCTTAGGTTAGGTTCACACTTGTAAAGTAGGGATGTACCCAGGGGCGGACTGGCCATTCGGACACTCGGGCACTGCCCGAGGGCCTGGGGTCAGTAGGGGGCCTCATGAGATTCCCTGGTACCTTTCATAGGCTTTTTTGGGTGTGGTTTGAGTGTGGGCAAGGACACAGGAGCCCAATGATCCCCTGTTGCCTGGGGACCCCATGAGTTGTCGGTCTGCCCCTAGATGTACCAGTACCAGTGCTGATACCAAGTATTTTCACGCGTACTCGTGAAAATGCTCCCAATACCCGAAACCGATACTTTGAGGTGCGATTTGCGTCAATACAAAATTGCGCCGCAAAGAATAGCATGCGATTTGAACAGGAATGCAATTCCTGTCCAAATCGCATGCAGTTTCCACACTGCTCCTCTGTGAACCCAGGCTTGTCATAGCCTGAGTTCACACAGGAGCAGTGCAGGAAACCTCCCTGCGTAGTACCGGCTAGACTGCTTTTGATTAGTCAGCACTGTCATGGTGCTGACCAATCAGAAACCGTCTAGCCCGTACTGTCATCCCTGCAAGAAGAGGAGAGAAAGCCGCAGGGATTTCAAATCCCCAGACCTGTGAAGCGGCTTTCTCTCCTCTCCTTGCAGGGATGACCGGAGGCGCTCGAAGGCTTCTCATTGGTCAGCACTGTGATGGTGCTGACCAATCAAAAGCCGCCTAGCCAGTACTGTCATCCTTGTACTGCCAGGAGAGAGAGCCATGGGGATTTAAAATCCCCAGACCTGTGAAGCGTCTTTCTCTCCTCTCCTTGCAGGGATGATCGGAGGGGCTAGACGGCTTCTGATTGGTCAGCACTGTAATGGTGCTGACCAATCAAAAGCCGCCTAGCCAGTACTGTCATCCCTGCAAGAAGAGGAGAGAAAGCCGCAGGGATTTCAAATCACCGGACCTGTGAAGCGTATTTCTCTCCTCTCCTTGCAGGGATGACCGGAGGAGCTAGACGGCGTCTGATTGGTCAGCACTGTGATGTTTCTGACCAATCAAAAGCTGCCTAGCCAGTACTGTCATTCCTGTACTGAGAGGAGAGAGAGCCACGGGTATTTCATATGGCCAGACCTGTGAAGTGGCTTTTCCTTCTGTGACAGCAGGGAGGTTTCCTGCACCTCTCCTGTGTGAACTCAGGCTATGACAAGTCTGGGATTACACAGGAGCAGTGGGGAAACCGCATGCGATTTGGACAGGAATCGCATTCCTGTTCAAATCGCATTCATACGTGCAATTTGCATCCATAAATCTTGTATCGGTACTCATGCTCTCCAATCAAAAAAGGGTGTTGGTGCATCCTTATTGTGAAGTCTCTACAAAGCTGTCTGCAGTGAATTGCCTTTCAGAGTGCCACTAAGCAGCCACTTTCAAGCATTAAGGAGGCTGCCCTGCCACCATCTGAATGCCTGTTGCCAAACGCCAGTTTTCAGTGGAGCTAACACACCGGGACTGCGAAGCAAGCATATAGCCGGAGGAGGTAGAAGTGTTGTGACTATTCTGTTTCAAATGCAGCTTTATGCATTGACCTGTCTCTCTGTAGACCCAGTCAGATCACCTGCTGACTTGGCACCATCCACAGGCAGCTTAACTCTTCAGTAAGGCACAGAACATGAATCCGTGCAATTTTCCTTCTGATAATTGCAGTACAGGGGATGATTTTCCAGACATGTGAAGCGTAAGATGACAATGCCTGTCTCTGATGACTAAGGCTGAAAATGGAAGAAAGGTAGGAGGATCTAGGTTGGACTGAACTAGTAGCATTCAACCGTAGAGGAGGACCAAGGGAGAAAACAAATCGTATAGTAAACAAATTGCAGTGCTTTCACTGTTTGGGTATTCAGGCAGCTGCTGGAGCTGCATCTTCCAAAACACAGCAGCCAGCAGGTGGAGGTTCCTCATCCTCGATATTCTGGATGTGGAGTGGGGGAGGATGATCATTTGAGGATGATCTGTGTATGGCCAGCTTAGGATTGGTAGAGCGAGGGTGTCTTCTGCTACTCTGTCTTTTGAAGAAGTTTTATATATAAAAAGTCCAAATGTGACACCAATAAAATGTGACCCTGTTAAGCATTCTGTATTCTTTTTTGTTTCAGCCTTTGGCCCGGACAGTCGCCCTCCCATGGCTATCTTTGAGTTACTGGATTATATTGTGAATGAGGTAAACGATTAAACTGCCCAATCAGAGTCAGCGTACATGGCTGTGTCTTCTCGGGCTGGAGTTTGTCAGGCTGTTGAGTTTTTATTTCTTCTGGATCAACAGATGGAGTTTGACGATGTGTATTGTGTTTTTTTTTTTTTTTTTTTTTTTTTTCAGCCTCCATAGACACTGCCGCACTTTAAATCATCCTACTCTGTATATTGTAATCTGTTTTTTGCCCCCGTGTCATAAAACATACAGAATATTACTGTAAGCTTGCTTTTACTTCTCAGGGGTCTGGTCTGCAATTCGAGTGTCTGAATGCAGGAAATACCTCATTATAACCAATTCACAAAAAGAACATTGGGGAACTGGAGGAAGTACAGAGAAGGGCAACCAAACTGATACGAGGCATGGAGGAGATCAGCTATGAGGAAAGATTAGAGGAACTGAATTTATTCTCTGAGAAGAGGAGATTAAGGGGGGGGGATATGATCACCATGTATATTACATAAGGGGGGATATGATCACCATGTATAATACATAAGGGGGGATATGATCTCCATGTATAATACATAAGGGGGATATGATCTCCATGTATAACACATAAGGGGGGATATGATCTCCATGTATAATACATAAGGGGGGATATGATCTCCATGTATAATACATAAGAGGGGATATGATCTCCATGTATAATACATAAGGGGGATATGATCTCCATGTATAATACATAAGGGGGATATGATCTCCATGTATAATACATAAGAGGGGATATGATCTCCATGTATAATACATAAGGGGGATATGATCTCCATGTATAATACATAAGGGGGATATGATCTCCATGTATAATACATAAGGGGGATATGATCTCCATGTATAATACATAAGGGGGATATGATCTCCATGTATAATACATAAGGGGGGATATGATCTCCATGTATAATACATAAGGGGGGGATATGATCTCCATGTATAATACATAAGGGGGGGATATGATCTCCATGTATAATACATAAGGGGGGGATATGATCTCCATGTATAATACATAAGGGGGGATATGATCTCCATGTATAATACATAAGGGGGGGGATATGATCTCCATGTAAAATACATAAGGGGGGGGGATATGATCTCCATGTAAAATACATAAGGGGGGGATATGATCTCCATGTAAAATACATAAGGGGGGGATATGATCTCCATGTAAAATACATAAGGGGGGGGATATGATCTCCATGTATAATACATAAGGGGGGGGGATATGATCTCCATGTATAATAAGGGGGGGGGATATGATCTCCATGTATAATACATAAGGGGGGGATATGATCTCCATGTATAATACATAAGGGGGGGGGATATGATCTCCATGTATAATACATAAGGGGGGGGGATATGATCTCCATGTATAATACATAAGGGGGGATATGATCTCCATGTATAATACATAAGGGGGGGATATGATCTCCATGTATAATACATAAGGGGGGGATATGATCTCCATGTATAATACATAAGGGGGGGATATGATCTCCATGTATAATACATAAGGGGGGATATGATCTCCATGTATAATACATAAGGGGGGATATGATCTCCATGTATAATACATAAGGGGGGATATGATCTCCATGTATAATACATAAGGGGGGGATATGATCTCCATGTATAATACATAAGGGGGGGATATGATCTCCATGTATAATACATAAGGGGGGATATGATCTCCATGTATATAATACATCAGTGGTTCATATAATGAACTCGGTGTAGTTATTCCCCCTGAGGTCATCACAGAGGACAAGGGGGCACTATTTACGTCTGGAGAAAGAGAGATGTAATCTCCAAACACGGAAAGGTTTCTTCACAGTAAGAGCTGTGAGAATGTGGAATAGACTCCCTCAAGAGTTGGTTGTGGCCAGCTCAGTGGATTGCTGTAGGAAAGTCCTGGATTCTTTCTTGGATACACAGAATATAACTGGATATAACATTTATAGGTGACGTTGATCCAGGGAATATCCGATTGCCTCTCGGGGGATCAGGAAGGAATTTTTTTTTTCCCTGCAGGAGCAAATTGGATCGTGCTTTGCTGGTTTTTTGCCTTCCTCTGGATCAACTGTGGGTGTAGGATTGTAACTTTTTTTTTTTTTTTTTTTTAAACTGGATGGACTTTTTTGTCTTTTTTCAGCCAGACTGTGTAACTGTGTATATATTCTCTGTCTGCAGAGACTGTAGCCTGAGAAAATGTAATGTTCCTATGTTTGCAGAGAATGAATTTACAGTTTCTAAATACAGCCCTAACAGCCCCGTTTGGATCAGTTTACATATTTTGATTACTCTTTATGGTAAAACAGCATCGTGCCTTCAAAGCTGAGCTCTACGTAGAAACAAAAATCACCAGTTGTGCAGTTTTATAAGAATTCAATATATTTTAATGTAGCTAGTGTAATTTAATTGTGATCAGCCTCTTGCAATCCCTGGTGGGGCAAATCCCAGACTGGGAGAGAGGGGGCAGCACTGGGAGCCAATCAGATGTGCTGCATGCTGACAGATGGAGATAGCAGAGTGAACAGAGGGATAAGCTGCTGCTCACTCATCCAACCAAATCAAATAGCTTTAATTACCTGCATTAGAGAAAAGTTGACTTACCAGCCCCAGCTGTACAAGTCTGGCGGAGCTGTGTAAATCTTAGGAATGAATGGACAGAAATAAAAACCTGTTGGTAGGAAAGCAATCCTCATACGTGTATTTCAGTTGTAGATTTGCCTGGCGATCAGCTTCATTTACACCAACCTCCATCTTTCTTTTCTGGTTACATGGATCCTAAATTTGATTTCTTTGTTTTATTTTTTCCCGTTCACAGCCGCCTCCTAAACTACCCAGTGGAGTGTTTGGAGCAGAATTCCAGGACTTTGTGAATAAATGGTAAGCTGATCAGAAGACAAATGTGGGAGGCGTTGGTATAGAATTTATATATCCATTACATGTTAACCTGTTGCCGCTCACGTAACACGCGTGACACCACAAGGGTGGGCTTTAATCCTTTTGCCTCCAGGTCCGTTCGTTGTGGGGGTCTATATACAATCCGGAGGCTGCAGCCACCAGGATTGTGTATAATACAGATAGGCAGACTGTCACAGCCGGGTGCCCACACTAAAGATGCCGGCACCGGAATGCTGTACAGCGCTGGACCGAGGAACAGGTAAGGTTCTGCTGCAGAGAAGAGATGAGCGGCCGGCCCGGTATTCTAACACGGCGGCGGGGATACCGGACCGGCCGCTCTATATTCGCTCCATAAGACACATTGACATTTTCCTGTGCGTCTTATGGAGTGAAAAATACAGTGTATATGTGTGTATATATATTATACATACATACATACATACATACATACATACATACATAGCTCAAAAAAAATGAAAGGAACACTTTGACATCAGATCTCAATGGGAACAAATCTCCTGCTGGATTTCTATACTGACATGGACGGGGTGATATGTTTAGGAATGTAAGGACGCCCCATCGTTTGATGGGAATGAAAATGATCGACCTACAGAGGACTGAACTGAATTCAAAGACCCCGAAAATCAAAGTGAAAAAATGATGCAGCAGGCGAGTCCATTTTGCTGAAATGTCATTGCAGCAACGCAGAATGGTCCTCGGTAGTTTGTATGGCCCCCATGTGCTTGTATGCATGGCTGACAACGTCGGGGGAGGCTCCTAATGAGACCATGGATGGTGTCCTGGGGGATTTCCTCCAAGATCTGGACCAGGGCATCACTGAGCACCTGGGCAGTCTGAGATGCAACCTGGCAGCGTCAGATGGACCGAAACATGACATCCCAGAGGGGGTTCTATTGTATTTAGGTCAGGCGAGCGTGGGGGCCATTCAATGGTATCAATTCCTTCATCCTCCAGGAACTGCCTGCATACTCTCCCCACATGAGGCCGGGCATTGTCGTGCACCAGGAGGAACTTAGGACCCACTGCACCAGGAGGAACCCAGGACCCACTGCACCAGCGTAGGGTCTGACAATGGGTCCAAGGATTTCATCCCCATACCTAATGGCAGTCGGGTGCCATTGTCTAGCCTGTAGAGGTCTGTGTGTCCCTCCATGGATATGCCTCCCCAGACCATCACTGACCCACCACCAAAACAGTCATGCTGAACCATGTTACCAGCAGCAGAACGTTCTTCATGGCTTCTCCAGACCCTTTCATGTCTGTCACATGTGCTCAGGGTGAACCTGCTCTCATCTATGAAAAGCACAGGGTGCCAGTGGTGAATCTGCCAATTCTGGTGTTCAATGGCAAATGCCAATCGAGCTCTATGGTGCCGGGCAGTGAGCACAGGGCCCACTAGAGGACGTCGGGGCCCTCAGGCCACCCCCATAAAGTCTGTTTCTGATTGTTTGGTCAGAGACATTCACACCAGTGGCCTGCTGGAGGCCATTTTGTAGGGCTCTGGCAGTGCTCATCCTGTTCCTCCTTGCACAAAGGAGCAGATACCGGTCCTGCTGATTGGTTAAGGACATTCTACGGCCCTCTCCAGCTCTCCTAGAGTAACTGCCTGTCTCCTGGAATCTCCTCCATGCTCTTGCCTCCTGGAATCTCCTCCATGCTCTTGTCTCCTGGAATCTCCTCCATGCTCTTGAGACTGTGCTGGGAGACACAGCAAACCTTCTGGCAATGCCACATATTGATGTGCCATCCTGGAGGAGTTGGACTGCCTGTGCAACCTCTGCAGGGTCCAGGTATGGTCTCATGCTACTAGTAGTGACACTGACCCTAGCCAAATGCAAAACCAGTGAAAAACAGTCAGAAAAGATGAGTAGGGGGAAAAAAATGTCAGTGGCCTCCACCTCTAAAACCATTCCTGTTTTGGGGGTCATCTCATTGTTGCCCATCTAGTGCACCTGTTGTTAATTTCATTAACACCAAAGCAGCTGAAACTGATTAACAACCCCCTATGTTACTTACCTGACCAGATCCATATCCCAGGAGTTTCATTGACTTGATACTAGACTCTGATTAAAAAGTCTTCCTTTTATTTTTTTGAGCGGTGTACAATGTTTTGGGGTCCCAAGCAAATGGGATGCCGGGTGAGCGGGAAGGGGTTAAAGGCAGTCATTTTGGTGGAAAGCTAAATATCCAATATCTTATATACATCTTCATGATAGAAGACTTTACAGGAACAAAAATAAATATTGTAAAATTTAAATGTCTGACAGCGACTAATTGTGTCGTCTTCTTTTTTTTTTTTTTTTTTTGTCATCTTGCAGCCTGGTGAAAAAATCCAGCAGAGAGAGCGGACCTGAAGCAGCTGATGGTAACGACCTTTTATAATAATATTCAGGAATCATCTTTTCTAGAATGCGCAACCAACACAGTGCACAAATTAGAATATTAATACGAATGATAAGAGGGAGAAAAAAAAAAAAAAGATTAAATGGAATCTCCAAGTTTTGGATGGGACTAGCACCAACGTGTTCTCAGATCCAATAACTGAAATCCCAAAGTTGCGGCAGCTACTGCATGAAATCCTCATGTGTAATATATACACAGGCGTAGCTCGGTTTACAAATTTAATTCATTCTGTGGGACTTTTCGTATTGTGAAAAATTCATAAACCGAAACGCGGTTTCCCATAGGAATGAACTGAAAACCAATTAATCCATTCCGGAGGTCAGAAAAAAGTAAAAAAAAAAAAAAGTCTTATCTGTTCAAAAACTCTTTATAAAGTGCACTTTAAAGGCATAAATACTGTACAGGGACGTGATTTAAAAAAAAAAAAAAACGTTGTAAATGCACTGAATGAAAACCAATTAATCTGTTAGTTTTACAAACAAATTAGTAAACCGAGGCATTATTTTCAAAGGATTTGAAACCGAAAATGACGTTGTCCGAGGCATTCGTAAACCGAGGTACTCCTGTATTCAGCATCCTCCTCCTTAGGCTGCTTTCACACCGAGCAGTTTTTGAAGCGTTTTTTGCATTAAAAAAAAAGTGCCTAAAAAGCTGAAGGAAAACGCTTCCCTATGTATGTGAATGTATATGTATGTGTGTTTTCACACTGAGGACGTTGCGCTTGCAGCACGGTGTAAAAACTCCCGCTTGCAGATCTTCGAGGCATGTTTGGTGAGTTAAAAAAAAAATCCCCCAAAAAAAAGGCCTCTTCCCATTGAAATCAATGGAAAACACTTAAAAAAAAAAGGCCTGAAAAGTGTCTCACAAATGCCTCTTCCTATTGAAATCAATGGAAAACGCCTGAAAAGCGTTTCAAAAATGCCTTTTTGGTGCAGTTTTTTAAGTCACGTGTCCTTTAAAAGCGCTCAAAGCGTGGTAAAACGCGGTAAAAATGCCTGTGCGGTTTTGCGGCGGATCAGTGTGAAAGTAGCCTTAGTGCGTCTGTTGGTAGCAACCACAGGACTGAAAAACCACAGGAACCCAATAGTCAATGTACTACTAGGTAGTGTTGTGTACCTTAGAAATATTGTTTTTTACATTCATTCTTCTACTGTGCGCTTGCTTGATGTGGAGTTACCCTTTAACTCCTTGCTGCTCACAACTCGCACAAACCGCACATATGTGTCCTTGGGCGGCCCGTGTTTTTGTGCTGAGAGCACACTCCCTGCACGCTCCTGGCCCGGAGACAGAGCTGTCAAAGACGGCTTAGTCCACACGAAAAATTGGAAGCCGGCAGGACCAGCTCCTGGTCATGTGACCACCATGACAGCCAATCAGTGGTCACATGATCACCAATCCTTCCTTCCCTCGCAGAACTTTTTAAAGGGACCCTGATGCAGGCAGGAAGGGATTAAAAAGGACTAGTCCTCATATCTGCCCTAGAGCATACATTTGTGGATGAATGTGTGAACAAATACGACACTTCAGTAATGGAGAGGTGTAGAACATTGTGCAGATCTCTGTTTTTAGAGCGCAGAATCTTAGCCCGCTTCAATACCAGGCACTTTTACCCCCTTCCTGCCCAGGTCAATTTTCAGGTTATTGCGCTCTCACAATTGGAATGACAATTGCGCGGTCATGCAACACTGTACCCAAACTAAATTTTTAAAATTTTTTTGTTCACACACAACTAGAACTTTCTTTTGGCGATATTTAACCCCTTCCCGCCGGCGCCTCCTGGCCCTTTAAGAGTTTCAGACGCCAGGAGGGGCGTGGTTTAGGGATCATGTGACCACCCGTGACGCGTTGTCACGGCGGTCACATGATCGGGAAAGGTCCCGATCGAAAGAGCAGACCGGGACCTTTCCGTGAGTAACGGACATGTGTGCTGGGAGCACGCAGGGTGCGCGCTCTCAGCACATATGTTTTTTTCTTACCTGAACGCAAATGTGCGGCCCGCTCGGTGTCTAGGACCAGACGCCGGGAGGCTGTACATTTGTGTGCGGCTGGCGGGAAGGGGTTAATCATTACTGAAAAAAGACTGAAAATTTTGAAAAAAAAACCCACGGTTTAATTTTTTTTCTGTTATTAAAATTTTGCAAATAATTGTTTTTCACACATTTAGGCCGAGATGTACAGGCGTACCTAGGTTTACGAATTTAATGTATTCTCCGGGATGTTTCGTATTGCATAAAATTCGTAAACCAAAACATGGTCTCCCAGAGGAATGCATTGAAAACCAATTAATCCGTTCTGGAGGTCAGAAAAAAGTTAAAAAAAAAGTTGCTGTCGCTATATGTTGGTTTCCGGTTTTTAAATTCAATTGTCGGCTTTTTTTTTTTTCTTCACTATAAGCTCAGAGAATCAGCTGTCACTTCCCCCCCCAGCTAAAAGAAAGTTTCCTTTTAGTTTATTTCCCGAGTTAAAAGAAACCGTTTCCTTTAACTCCGGGGAAAGTGACAGCTAATTCTGTGAGCTATAGTGATGAAAAAAAAAAAAGCCAGCAATTGCATTTAAAAATCGGCCCCGACATACGCTTCGTATTGCGAAAAAAATTTGTAAACAGAGACCACCCATCCTAGAGTGGTCATTTTTCTGGCTTTGCTGAGAGATCAACCTGCCTATCCTCCAATACTCAGTCTTGTGCTGACACGGCGTTTTGGCATTGAAGTTAATGGGAACACGACTTTGCTTGAAAGTCTGAGACATGATTTTGTATGGAAGTCACTACGGGGCATTTTTGCATGAAAGTCGATGAGATGCGACTTTGCATGCAAAATGCCAATAACTGATGCCAGGAAAATTTCCACTCCTGCTGGCCACAATCCGGCCCCCCTAAGTCTGAAGGACAATAAACTGGCTCTTTGTTTAGAAAGTTTGGAGACCCTTGGCCTAAAGGTCAGGAGAAAGCGGCATTACTGATCTGATTCTCTGCTACCCCAGGAGCTGGCACTCTCCTCTTCTCCCCTACACTCTGACAGTGGACTGTCCCTTGGCATCTTCATGTTCATTGCTGGGCCATGGTATAAAGGAACCGACCCCAGACTGCGCTTGGGGACTTTCGTTAGGATACCGCTTCCCCGTCCGAACACCGACCACAGACCCCACAGCCGACCAAACAAGACTAGACGACACCAGTCTTGGAAGTAAACCAGGAAATAGACTATTTTATTTTAACACAGATACAAGATATATACATTGAAGGGAACAACCCCCCTCCCTGCACAATGACACAGGGAAGGGGAATCTACATTTAGTAACAAAAGACACGCCAGCAGACAGTCCCATCAGGAGGGATGGCTGCTGGAGACAGCCCCCCCCCACCCCCCATCCCCCACCAAGCCAATACACATACATCCCATAATAGTTTGCTCCCAAGCAAGACACACAATAGATCAATGGGTTGCAACCACATAACACCAAACAATCCACAACCCCCACTCCACCTATCTCCTAGACATGTCTACACAATATTAGATCACCCCGTACCCCTAACAGGCACAGGGCGACTTACACATAATAGGGATATGGGGAGCTGAAACAGGGGTCTCTCCCCACCTCTCCAAAGTGAGCTGGGTTCCATGGGTCCCCCACCCAAAGTGACTCTCGTCACACACGGGTTCTGCATTGGACTTACTGACTTCAGAGCACCTGCGACTGCTGGAAAATAGGGGAGAAGAGGTTACAGGGCTGGTCTAGGAGTGTGGAGGGGAGCCTGCGGGAGCGGAGGGTCAGGTAAGCAAAACTTTATACACTACTCTAGACCTAAATGATCACTCGACCCTTGCAGTGTGGAGGTAGCCCATATTAAAGGGAGGATTTTGGTTTACTTTTAATTCCCTTGAACATTCTCCCTGTGCTGTCTTTAACAAATCTGTAATGTTGTGAATGCTTTCATTGTTGTACTGGACACCAACCAATCTTGTGTTCTACACCCTCAGCAGAAGTTAGTCTGAAACTCTCCATTGGGAGACAAAAAAAAAATCTGAGAAATAATGAGAGATTCATAGATTTAAAATTTTTTACATTGTTTGCCTTTGTCACGAAGTACACCCGCCGACCTTTCGTTAAACCGGTACCGCCACATTTTTTAGTTTTGAAGACGTTATACATATTCAAATGTTTTTGTTATAACTCGGTATTAGAGTAGTTCTAGTCTCTGTCTTTTGTTGGCCTTACCTTGTAAGGATGGGCTCACATGTTGTGGCTGCAGTTTGTAGTGTCACGGCTGATCGATCCCTCATGTCCATGTATTCATTCACCTAGATTGTCCCTAGTCACTAAAGGGACAGGCAGCTTCTTGTTCCGGGTCACACAGCGTCCAATCCACGCCTGTCAATTTCCTCTGTGTTGTATCACAAATATGAAAGTGCTAATGTGATGGAAGACTGCATGGGGTCTTTGGTAGTTGCTCTGCCTTTTTGTATCTGTGTCAGATCTCAACCGCGGAACACTAGACTGAGAAACTCAGGGATTGTGGGATATGTAGTTTCTTCACAGAAAGTGTCAGTTCTCATACTACACACTAAGGTCATGCATTAACCTGTGCAGCACCATGCCACATGTTTGAACACAACCAGAAATGTCTGACTACTGTCTACTATAGGCTGTGTGTACAACAAGAGACTAAATGAGCAATGCACATCTTATGTTGGGAGAAAAACACAAGGTGCAGGTTGGAAGGTTTCGAATGCCTTTAACCTGCGTAACTGTTGGGGCCAAAGTCTGCTTGGCAGCTGTAAAAATGAAGATTAGGAGCCTAAAGTGGTTTAGGATTCAGTAGAGCTTCATTTGGATCATTTGTAATATTGGAACCTAGAACAGTATGTACAATTGGTAGGCCCGGGTCATAATCCTCTCTTTTATGAAGGCAGCCCTGATTGATTGATATGGACCTGTTATGTCTGCCATTTTTACAGTTCACCATTTCAATGCTGATAAATAGGGATGAGCTCAGTTGGGTTCTGATCCTAGTCCAAACCCGCCATCACTGCTCACTGCCAAAAATAAGTGGTTGTGGCCCAACATAATCACAGACTAGGATCTGAAATTCCCCCCCCCCCCAAACTAATCCCAGTTCGGACTAGGATCTGAACCCCCCAAACTAGTCGCAGTTCGGACTGGGATCTGAACCCCCACACGAATCCCGTTTCGGACTAGAATCTGAACCCCCCCCAAAATAATCCCGGTTTGGACTAGGAGCTGAAACCCCCCCCCCCCCCCCAGACTAATTCAGGTTCAGACTGGGATCTGAACTCCCCCAAACTAATCTCAGTTTGGACTAAGATCTGAACAAACCTGAGCTCATCTCGGTTCACATTAGGATCTGAACCTGAATGAGCCCATCCTGATTCATACTAGCATCTGGACCTGGTTGAGCTCATCCTGGTTCAAATTAGAATCTGAAACCCCCAAAATTAATCCCGGTTTAGACTGGGATTTAGATCCCCCAAAGTAATCCTGGTTCAGACTGGGATCTGAAGCCCCCAAATTCCGGTTCAGACTAGGATCTGATCCCACCCCTCAAAAACTGAATCAGGATTAGTTTGGGGGGGTTCAGATCCTAGTTGAACCAGGTTTAGACTAGGATCTGAACCTCCCCAAACTAATCCCAGTTCAGACTGGAATCTGAACCCCCCCCCCATACTAATCTAGCTTCAGACTGGGATCTGAACCCCCCAAACTAATCCCGATTTCAGACTGGGATCTGAACCCCCCAAACTAATCCCGATTTCAGACTGGGATCTGAACCCCCCAAACTAATCCCGATTTCAGACTGGGATCTGAACCCCCCAAACTAATCCCAATTTCAGACTGGGATCTGAACCCCCCAAACTAATCCCGATTTCAGACTGGGATCTGAACCCCCCCCAAACCAATCCCGATTTCAGACTGGGATCTGAACCCCCCCAAACCAATCCCGATTTCAGACTGGGATCTGAACCCCCCCAAACCAATCCCGATTTCAGACTGGGATCTGAACCCCCCCAAACCAATCCCGATTTCAGACTGGGATCTGAACCCCCCCAAACCAATCCCGATTTCAGACTGGGATCTGAACCCCCCAAACTAATCCCGCTTCAGACTGGGATCTGAACCCCCCCCCAAACCAATCCCGCTTCAGACTGGGATCTGAACCCCCCCAAACTAATCCCGCTTTCAGACTGGGATCTGAACCCCCCCAAACTAATCCTGCTTCAGACTGGGATCTGAACCCCCCAAACTAATCCTGCTTCAGACTGGGATCTGAACCCCCCCAAACTAATCCTGCTTTAGACTGGGATCTGAACCCCCCCCCCCCCAAACTAATCCTGCTTTAGACTGGGATCTGAACCCCCCCCCAAACTAATCCTGCTTTAGACTGGGATCTGAACCCCCCCAAACTAATCCTGCTTTAGACTGGGATCTGAACCCCCCCAAACTAATCCTGCTTTAGTCTGGGATCTGAACCCCCTAAACTAATCCCGGTTCAGCCTGGGATCTGAACCCCCCAAACCAATCCAGCTTCAGACTGGGATCTGACCCCCCCATACTAATCTAGCTTCAGACTGGGATCTGAACCCCCCCAAACTAATCCTGGTTCAGCCTGGGATCTGAACCCGCCTGCGCTCCTCCCTGCTGTTACAATATTTGTATGTAGACTGAGCCTCATAGAGTGTTTTTTTGTTTTCTCTTCTCTTTCCAGGTTCACAGTTTTATTAAAACCTCGGAACTGGAGGAAGTGGATTTCGCCGGCTGGCTTTGCTCTACCATGGGCCTGAAACAACCCAGCACCCCCCGACGCACGCCGCAGGGGTGTGAGCAGGAGGAGACAAGAAGCTGGTCCAGGCAGAGAGCCACCGCTGACATATCCTGCTCCTGCCACCCTGCAGGATGGGATCTCTGCAGAATGTGCCAAAAATAAACGGTTTCTTTTCATTCTCATTAACCCCCTTCATTCAAGGAAGGGCCTGCAGGGCACGGGTCAGGAAATCTCCCAGTGTCTCTCGTGGGCTTCACCTGCAGTAAGATCCCTGCTTTTTACCCCCCCATGATGCTTTGTGGTACCTGTGAGGCTTTCAGTAAATAACAGGATAACCCCCCCCCCCCCCCTCAGTCTGTGTTTTAGGAGATCAATGAAATCTAAACTGTAATTTTACCAACCAAAGTGGGCCAGTCTCATGTGGAACCAATCCCTGATGGAGGCTGCTTAATATCCTTTACCGTAGTCTTGGCGTCCAGGTTTGTGTAGCCAAAAAATGTTTAAAAGATGCAAAAAAAAAAAAAAAAAGGTTATTTTGTAACAATTATCCAGATATATTTTCTCTAGAAACTATTTTTTTTTCTCTGCGCTCCTTACGATTGGCTCACCTTGGTCACACATGAGACTTTCCCGCACGCTTCGAATGTTTTCCCGCACCGGCGGCTTGTTTACCCTTGTGCTGTCTTAGAGATCTGAGCCATGCGTGTTTTCCCCGCGGGTAACCATCCGTGCTGGAACCAGCGTCCAAAGCCATAACCCGGGGGGGCCTGACATCTTTAAGAGTTCGCCTTTTGTGGGGGATGGATTATGGAGGAACTCGTCTCTGTCGGAGCAGTGAGCCGGCACACGGCGGTCAGTGTCGTTTTAATCTGTAATAGTGGAAGTCTGCATGATTGCCGCCACACAAAGCATTTCAGTTGAGCAAGCGGGAAAAAAAACAAAGGCTAAGTGCAAGGCATGCTGCTCCGGTAGAGAAGGGGATTTGAATTGAGCAGGCGGTCTGCTGCCTCCTGCCTGTGCCTCTTCGCCTGCCCAGACTTTTCATATTTATTTTATATTTGAATGTGATGTGATCGCTCCAAACCCCTTCGCTGTGTTAGGTTTCTCCACCTCGTTAGTCACCTTGTTAGTCCCTTGGTTCTGAAAGGAAAACACTCCCGAGACGACGGTGGGGAAGCTGAACCCGGCACTTGCTTCCTTTTAATGTAAGAAGCCTTCAGTCCCCCTTAACCTGTACCCCCCGAATCTTCAGATGTATTATCTTTGACTATAATAAATATATTACAAAGAATATGGCCTCATGTGCTTCATTCTATGTAGGTAGAGCTGTCCAGCGATGGGAAGACCTTCCAAGCTCGGGATATAGCTGATTGATCTGTCTTCTTAAAGATACGGTTTATGGTACATAGTTGCACTCAGCTGTGACCAATGGAAGTATACACAGGGATTTTTTTTTCTCCCTCCTGAGTCAACACTGGTTTTCGCCCCCCTCCCCCTACCCACCTCCGAGCACTGTCCCTTGGTTCCTCCCCCTGCCCACCTCCGAGAACTGTCTCTTGGTTCCACCCCTCTACTCTTCTCTGAGCACCGTCCCTTAGTTCCTCCCCCTAACCCACCTCCAAGCACTGTCCCTTGGTTCCTCCCCCTGCCCACCCCTGAGCCCTGTCCCTTGGTTCCACCCCTGAGCCCTGTCCCTTGGTTCCTCCCCCCTTCAGAGCCCTGTCCCTTGGTTCCTCCCCCCCTTAGAGCCCTGTCCCTTGGTTCCTCCCCCCCTTAGAGCCCTGTCCCTTGGTTCCTCCCCCCCTCAGAGCACTGTCCCTTGGTTCCTCCCCCCCTCAGAGCACTGTCCCTTGGTTCCTCCCCCCCTCAGAGCACTGTCCCTTGGTTCCTCCCCCCCCTCAGAGCACTGTCCCTTGGTTCCTCCCCCCCTCAGAGCACTGTCCCTTGGTTCCTCCCCCCCTCAGAGCACTGTCCCTTGGTTCCTCCCCCCCTCAGAGCACTGTCCCTTGGTTCCTCCCCCCCTCAGAGCACTGTCCCTTGGTTCCTCCCCCCCTCAGAGCACTGTCCCTTGGTTCCTCCCCCCCTCAGAGCACTGTCCCTTGGTTCCTCCCCCCCTCAGAGCACTGTCCCTCGGTTCCTCCCCCCCTCAGAGCACTGTCCCTCGGTTCCTCCCCCCCTCAGAGCACTGTCCCTCGGTTCCTCCCCCCCTCAGAGCACTGTCCCTCGGTTCCTCCCCCCCCCCTCAGAGCACTGTCCCTCGGTTCCTCCTCCCCCCCCCCTCAGAGCACTGTCCCCTTGGTTCCTCCCCCCTCAGAGCACTGTCCCTTGGTTCCTCCCCCCCCCTCAGAGCACTGTCCCTTGGTTCCTCCCCCCCCCCCTCAGAGCACTGTCCCTTGGTTCCTCCCCCCCCTCAGAGCACTGTCCCTTGGTTCCTCCCCCCCTTAGAGCACTGTCCCTTGGTTCCTCCCCCCCTCAGAGCACTGTCCCTTGGTTCCCCCCCCCCCCTCAGAGCACTGTCCCTTGGTTCCTCCTCCCCCCCCCCCCCCTCAGAGCACTGTCCCTTGGTTCCTCCCCCCCCCCCCTCAGAGCACTGTCCCTTGGTTCCCTCCCCCCCCCCCCCCCCCCCCCACCCCCCTCAGAGCACTGTCCCTTGGTTCCTCCCCCCCCCCCCTCAGAGCACTGTCCCTTGGTTCCTCCCCCCCCCCCCCCCCCCACAGAGCACTGTCCCTTGGTTCCTCCCCCCCCCCCCCCCCCAGAGCACTGTCCCTTGGTTCCTCCTCCCCCCCCCCCCTCAGAGCACTGTCCCTTGGTTCCTCCCCCCCCCCCCCAGAGCACTGTCCCTTGGTTCCTCCCCCCCCCCCCCCCCCCCCCCTCAGAGCACTGTCCCTTGGTTCCTCCCCCCCTCGGTTCCTCCTCCTGCCCACCTCTGAGCACTGTCTCTTGGTTCCGCCCCTCTTCTCTGAGCACCGTCCCTTAGTTCCTCTCCCTACCTACCTCAGAGCACCGTCCCTTGGTTCCACCCCTCTTCTCTGAGCACCGTCCCTTGGTTCCTCTCCCTACCTACCTCAGAGCACCGTCCCTTGGTTCCACCCCCGAGCACTGTCCCTTGGTTCCTCCCCCCCCCCTCAGAGCACTGTCCCTTGGTTCCTCCCCCCCCCTCTGAGCACTGTCCCTTGGTTCCTCCCCCCCCCCTCTGAGCACTGTCCCCTTGGTTCCTCCCCCCCCCCCATCTGAGCACTGTCCCTTGGTTCCTCCCCCCCCCCTCTGAGCACTGTCCCTTGGTTCCTCCCCCCCCCCTCTGAGCACTGTCCCTTGGTTCCTCCCCCCCCCTCTGAGCACTGTCCCTTGGTTCCTCCCCCCCCCTGAGCACTGTCCCTTGGTTCCTACCCCCCCCCCTGAGCACTGTCCCTTGGTTCCTCCCCCCCCCTGAGCACTGTCCCTTGGTTCCTCCCCCCCCCTGAGCACTGTCCTCCTTGGTTCCTCCCCCCCTCTGAGCACTGTCCCTTGGTTTCCTCCCCCCCTCTGAGCACTGTCCCTTGGTTCCCTCCCCCCCCTCAAATTTCTTGCATGAGCTGAGCACTGTCCCTTGGTTCCTCCCCCCCCCCCTCTGAGCACTGTCCCTTGGTTTCCTCCCCCCCACCTGCCTCTGAGCACTGTCCCTTGTTCCTCCCCCCCACCTGCCTCTGAGCACTGTCCCTTGGTTTCCTTCCTCTACCCGGAAGCTCTGAGCACTGTCCCCGATTGGTTCCTCCCTCTTACCCGCCTCTGAGCACTGTCCCCTTGGTTCCTCCCTCTACCGTGAGCCCGCCTCTGAGCCTCTCTTGGTTCCGCCAATACAGGGTGCAAGGAGAGCGGATTATAGTGAATGCAGGGTCCTGGGGAGACCAGATGATAGTGAATGCGGGTCCCTGGGGAGACCAGGTATAGTGAATGAGGGTTAATCTGGGGAGACCAGATGTATAGTGAATGCGGAGGTCAATTGGTGAGACCAATATAGTGAATGCGGGGTCTGTGGAGACCAAGATATAGTGAATGCGGGGTCTGGGGAGACCAGATATAGTGAATGCGGGGGTCCGGGAGAGCGGATATAAGTGAATGCAGGTCCGGGGAGAGCGGATATAGTGAGGGAGGAATAGTGCCCCATCCAGTGTTATGAGAGAAACCAGTTCCCATCAGTGGTGTCAGTAGAAGGAATAATAGTATCTCATCATTGGTGTCAGTAGAAGGAATCGTGTCCTGTGTTTGGTGTCAGTGAAAGGAACAGTGCCTCATCGTTGGTGTCAGTAAAAAGAATAGTGCCCCAATGTTGGTGTCAGTGGGAGGAATAGTGCCCCATCATTGTTAGTGAGGAACCCAGTGTCCCATCATTGGTGTCAGCAGAAGGAATAGTGCCCCATCGTTAGTGTCAGTAAAAAAGAATAGTTCCCCCGTCTTGTTTAGTGAGAGAACCATGCCCCATCATTGGTGTCAGTGGGAGGAATAGTGTCCCCTTGTTGGTGTCCGTGGATGTCATGGGAACATCATAACACACAGGTATGACTGGCACTACTTCCACAGAAAGCCAGCCATTTTTCTAGTACAAATCATCAACAGTCACAACAGAACACTGAACGGCACTTATAGGGCAATTGATATCTCTGATAAAGTATAAAAACCACCAAACACAAATATATTCCTGCTAATTACTTCATTTAATTCTTATTGATTGCATATATAATCCACAAAAGAGCAAAAATGTCAGCCATGTTTGGATTTGGTTTGGGGTGTGTCGACAATCCGCATCATTCTAGTCCAGCAGCAGGGAGGCCACGGCAGCTATTGGTCTAACACGCTAAACCATCTTATAGACAAATATGGCCCCAACAACCACGCCACGGTCAATCACTTAAATTTCCTTTCTTCCCCACTTCTGAATGCTCGTTATCACAACTTCACACAAGTTGTCTTCACCACGTCTAGATGCCTAAAAGCATGGAGTTGCTGCGTGTGATTTGCTGATGTAGCAAATTTGTGTTACCGAGCCATTGAACAGATGGGACGTGATAAAGGGGCCGGTGAG